GACAAACCCACAGCCAATACCATACTGAATGGGCAAAAACTGGAAGCATTTCCATTGAAAACTGGTACAAGACAGGGATGCCCTCTCTCACCACTCCTATTCAACATAGTGTTGGAAGTTCTGGCCAGGGCAGTCAGGCAAGAGAAAGAAATAAAAGGTATTCAATTAGGAAAAGAGGAAGTCATATTGTTCCTGTTTGCAAATGACATGATTGTATATTCAGAAAACCCCATCGTCTCAGCCCAAAATCTCCTTAAGCTGACAAGCAACTCCAGCAAAGTCTCAGGATACAACATCAATGTGCAAAAATCACAAGCATTCCTATACATCATTAACAGACAAACAAGATAGTTAAATCATGAGTGAACTTCCATTCACAATTGCTACAAAGAGAATACAATACCTAGGAATCCAACTTACAATGGATGTGAAGGACCTCTTCAAGGAGAACTACAAACTACGGCTTGACGAAATAAAAGAGGACACAAACAAATGGAAGAATATTCCATGCTCATGGATAGGAAGAATCACTACCATGAAAATGGCCATACTGCCCAGAGTAATTTATAGATTCAATGCCATCCCCATCAAGCTACTAATGACTTTCTTCAGAGAATTGGAAAAAACTACTTTAAAGTTCATATGGAACAAAAAAAGAGCCTGCATTGCCAAGACAATCCTAAGCAAAAAGAACAAAGCTGGAGGCATCATGCTACCTGACTTCAAACTATACTACAAGGCTACAGTAACCCAAACAGCATGGTACTGGTACCAAAACAGACATATAGACCAATAGAACAGAACAGAGGCCTCAGAAATAACACCATACATCTACAACCATCTAATCTTTGACAAACCTGACAAAAACAAGAAATGGAGAAAGGATTCCCTATTTAATAAATGGTGCTGGGAAAACTGGCTAGCCATATGTAGAAAGCTGAAACTGGATCTCTTCCTTACACCTTACACAAAAATTAATTCAAGATGGATTAAAGACTTAAATGTTAGACCTAAAACCATAAAAGCCCTAGAAGAAAACCTAGGAAATACCATTCAGGACATAGGCATGGGCTAGGACTTCATGACTAAAACACCAAAAGCCATGGCAACAAAAGCCAAAATAGACAAATGGGATCTAATTAAACTAAAGAGCTACTGCACAGTAAAAGAAACTATCATCAGAGTTAAAAGGCAACCTACAGAATGGAAGAAAATTTTTACAACCTACCCTCTGACAAAGGGCTGATATCCAGAATCTACAAAGAACTCAAACAAATTTATAAGAAAAAAAACAAACAACCCCACCAAAAAGTGGGCAAAGGATTTGAACAGACACTTCTCAAAAGAAGACATCTATGCAGCCAACAGACACATGAAAAAATGCTCATCATCACTGGTCATCAGAGAAATGCAAATCAAAACCACAATGAGATACTATCTCACGCCAGTTAGAATGGCAATCATTAAAGAGTCAGTAAACAACAGATGCTGGAGAGGATGTGGAGAAATAGGAACACTTTTACACTGTTGGTGGGACTGTAAATTAATTCAACCATTGTGGAAGACAGTGTGGCGATTCCTCAAGGACCTAGAACTAGAATTACCATTTGACCCAGCAATACCATTACTGGGGATATACCCAAAGGATTATAAATCATGCTACTATAAAGACACATGCACACCTATGTTCACTGAGACACTATTCACAATAGCAAAGACTTGGAACCAACCCAAATGTCCATCAATGATAGACTGGATTAAGAAACTGTGACACATATACACCATGGAATACTATGCAGCCATAAAAAAGGATGAGTTAATGTCCTTTGTAGGGACATGGACAAAGCTGGAAACCATCACTCTCAGCAAACTATCACAAGGATAGAAAACTAAACACCGCATGTTCTCACCCATAGGTGGGAACTGAACAATGAGATCAGTTGGACACAGAGTGGGGAACATAACACAATGGGGCCTGTTGGGGGTTTGGGGGCTGGGGTAGGGATAGCACTACGAGAAATACCTAATGTAAATGATGAGTTAATGGGTGCAGCAAACCAACATGGCACATGTATATGTACGTATCAAACCTGCACGTTGTGCACCTGTACCCTAGAACTTAAAAGTATAATACAAAAAAAAAAATTAAATAAATAAATATATACACCTACAATGTGCCCACAAAAATAAAAAATAAAATAAAAATGATAGACAAAGCAACAGAAATAAACAGCTGTGAAGCAGAGAGCTTAACATTTAATAAAGGAAGCATCAAATCAATGGCAAAGGTATAGTTTATTCAACAAATTATTAAAATAGACTGTTTTTCAACATCCAAACCAGTTCCAGTTATCATTCCACAAATCAGAATATATTTCAAAATGAATACAGAATTAAATGTAAAATAATTACCACCTCAATCAAATAAAGATCTAGAAGGAAAGGCTGGGCCCGATGGCGCATGCCTGTAATCCCAGCACTTTGGGAGGCTGAGGCAGGCAAATCACCTGAGGCTAGGAGTACAAGACTAACCTAGCCAACATGGCAAAATGCTGTCTCTTACACTAAAAGTACAAAATTAGCCAGGTGTGATGTGTGGTCAGAAGGCTGAGGCACATGAATCACTTGAACCTGGGAGGTGGAGACTGCACTCAGCTGAGGTTGTGCCATTGCACTCCCACCTAGGCAACAGAAGACTCCGTCTCAAACAAAACAAAACAAAACAAACAAACAAAAACAACTAGAAAGAAATAAGGAAATGTGCTAGAATATTTAACTGATTTCAAGACAAAACGTTTAAGCACAACAAATAATTCAAGAAATCCAAAGAAAGAAATTGAGAGAAATGATACATAAAATGAAAAAATATGTGTGTTAAATGATCTGATGTTGAAAACTGAAAACTAAACAACTAACCAGGAAAGCTCCCACAAATAGCACAAAAGTTAATCTCTCTCTCTCTGTCACACACACACACACACACATACACACACACACACACACACACGGAGAGTTCTTACAATTAAGAAAAATTCTTAAATTGAAAACTAGAAAAAGAACACCAACAGATAATTTGAAAACAGATGAAAATTTCATACAAATATATGGAAAATATTAACATCACTAGCAAAAAAGAAAAAAAAATTAAAGCGGTACCATGATCTGCTTCTCAAGCTATAAAGGTTAAAAAAGGGTGATTAGTATCCGGTGCTGGCCAGGTTGAAGTTATACAGGTGCTGTTATAAAATGTTGGTGAAATTACAAATTATTACTTAATAGAAGCAATTTCACAATAAACATGGCATGAACTATCCTGATACGATTTGACCTCAATAATTCTATTGCTAGGACTCTATCATGTGGCAAGAAATTAAAAACAACTTAAATGTACAACAATCATAAAACTTGGCATCATAAAAGATTATTTTTAGGCTGGGCGCAGTGGCTCACAGCTGTAATCCCAGCACTTTGGGAGGCCAAGGTGGGTGGATCACGAGGTGAGGCAATCAAGACTATCCTGGCTAACATGGTGAAACCCCATTTCTACTAAAAATACAAAAACAAAATTAGCTGGGCGTGGTGGTGGGCATCCGCCTATAGTCCCAGCTACTCAGGAGGCTGAGACCGGAGACTGGTGTGAACCTGAGAGGTGGAGGTTGCAGTGAGCCGAGATCGCTCCACTGCACTCCAGCCTGAGCGACAGAGCAAGACTCTGTCTCAAAAAAAAAAAAAAAAAGATTATTTTTGAAGAATATCTAAATGACTGAGGAAATGATCACAATATAATACAACACAAACAAACAAACAAACAAAAAACTTGGTAATATCCCTATGATTCCAGTTCTGTAAAAAAAAAAAAGTAGTACAGTGTTATATAGATTATATTTTTGTTTTATATTTTCTGTAATAACCAAATAATTATTCCAAGATCATTTTGAGAAAAGCTAAAAACAACAACCAAAACCAGTTAGAAATTACAGGAAGTGAGTAAAGATTATATTTCTCTATACATTTGGCAGTAAAAGGAATGAGAGATCTGGATAGGACTATAGCTGGAAAGTAGAGTAACTGAGGAAAGTTTTGTTTTATGCTTTGTTTTGTTTAAAGGCAGATAACAAACATGTTTATTAAGAGGAACAAGAAGAAATATAACATAAAGAGGAGATAACTTTTTGAAGACGATCCTAAAGCAGGCAGAGATGGCAGAAAGCAGAAATACAAATAGATTTAAAAAAAGGCTTTTCTCAAACTGAAGGTGAGCAAGAAAAGATGGCTCAATACAGAAATTTTAAATAAGAGACGAGGAAGATAAAGAATTGTTTGATGTGGGAATGGCCTGAATCATCTTATTCACTATGCATTCCTATGGGTAGCTTTTTTCAAACCTGCTTCCCAATCTGTCAGAATCACTGGATTTAATTAATGAGAGATGTGACTAAGGTTTGTCTAAATATGGGAAAAACCAAAGGACATTTTACAGGTCCAATTAGTTTTCTGTGATTCAAAAGATGATTCTGAAATGCATAAAAAAGGCATAAACAAGCTGGGCACGAAGGCTCAAGCCTGTAATCCCAGCACTTTGGGAGGCTGAGGCGGGCAGATCACGAGGTCAGGAGATCGAGACCATTCTAGCTAACACGGTGAAACACCGTCTCCACTAAAAAATACAAAAAAAAAAAATTAGCCGGACACGTTTGTGGGTGCCTGTAGTCCCAGCTACTCCGGAGGCTGAGCCGAGATCACGCCACTGCACTCCGGCCTGGGCGGCAGTGCGAGACTTTGTCTCAAAAAAAAAAAAAAAAAAAAAAAAGAGGCATAAACAATTCAAAGATACCTAACATTCTATGCAGTCCTAAATTTTTCTTAAAAAATTATTGCTCAGAAAGTTATAAATCAATAATATAGTATTATACACTATTTAAAATATTATTCACAGTATTATTCTAAACAGAGAAATACCTGAGAGTTGGTAGTTATGTGAAGATTTTCCAACAACTTACCACTGCCTTGAATCCAAGTTCCTAAGTTCTCTAAGTAGCTTTTCATTTTTCTTCAGGAGATGAAAGCTCCTCCTAAATAGAGAGATTTATAAACATTTTCATCACCTTTGCAGTGAATGACATGACAGTCCCGGAAATACTTTCCACTCTACTCATGCAACTTTTATACTTTTCTTGCCTTTTCATACTTCTAACACAAAGGAGAACAGACCCTAAAAAAAACGTAAAGAATATATGTCATTATTTCCACCAGGCCTTCATACATTTCTGCTAGTGGATCATATCAATTGGCCACTTCAATCTTTCCTTGCAGATGCTGTGAGCCTCCTAAACTCATATCTAGGAAAATGGATAAAAGTACTTTACAGGTTCTTTTCAAGAGTCTCATAAAAATGTGAGAAAGTTGTACCTCATGAGAAATAAAATATTCACAGAATCTAAATCATTACCAAGTAAGCAAGTGTAATCCAGATGGAATTTTCTTTCTTCCTTGTTTTATAATTTTTAGACTACAAAGCAGTGAATAATTTTACCAAATCCCTTCCGTGGGTGCTAAATATGTACAAATTATTTTCATAAAATCAATGCTTGCTGAAGTAAAATACAGCTTCTCATCTTTAATTTTTCCCAAGGGACAACATATGGACCATTCTACAGCAAAACAGAGTAGAATGCATTTATACGATAACTGAGTGGCAATTACCTATATTTGGTCATACCATATGGCAAACTGTTCCTGAGATATAACATTTCCTATAAGGCAGAGGATATTCTTCTCTTCTAATAAATGGCTTCCCTATATTCCTTCCTCCCTTCTAATAAGAGGCTTTCCTATAAGGCAGAGGATATTCCCTTCTAATAAGTGGAAGAGTTTAAATCAACTAAGAGTATAAATACTAAGTAAACAAGCAGAACTCTACTTCAATGCTTGATATGCATTTGAATTACTTTAAGATTTATTCGTTCATTGATACCTGAGCTTCCCCTCCTACCATAAATTGACAGAGACAATACATTACCACTCCTTCCACTACCTACAGGGTTGTGTGACATAGGAATTAAAACCTAAATGTATGTTAATAATGTTCTACATTAGTGTACAATGCCAGTGTTTTATGTACATTATCTAATTTAATTATTCCCAGTATGTGAGGTGGGAACTACTCTCAATTTGTAGACTGCAGCCTGAGGCTCAAAAGTTAAGTAACTTTAAGCTAGGTCTTCTGATTTAAGCCTATTGTTCTTTTCATTTAGCTCCTACCTAACTTACTTGAATACCTCATGAGTTTATTGTAAGTTTTTAATAAGGTTTTGTAACATGCATCAGAAAAAAAAATTTTTTTTAACTTCAGATTCTTTTTTTGATTTGATCTTGAATCTTGAGTTAATTTCCCTGATTCAAACTGGAAATAATCATATTGCGGTTTCTAAAAAAAAATTATTAGGCTTACAGGAAGGTTGAAAAATGAGCCATAATTTCTAAGTCAAATAGTTCTAGTAGTCATTTTGAAAATATCGATAATTTGCTGGATTATTTTATTCCTCTGAATCCCAATATAACTCAGTGGCCTCAAAAAAAAAAAAAAAAAAACTGCAAAAAAATGAGTCAAAGAACTAATTGGTAGGTACAATTTAGTGAGGAAAAGAACAGAAAATAAAATGCTTCATCAGAAGATGAATAAGACCGAAAAAAAAAAAAAAAGAAAAAATTTCTCCCTTATGCTTACCGTTTGTCCCAGGAATTCATTCCCAATATACTAAGAAGCAATCTGCAATAATAAAATGCTGACTGAGGTTTCTGAGGTATTGGTTCATCTTGTTCCACAGCTTTCATGTTTAAGTCATTAAAGTGCTTCTCAACAAATTCTTTTTCTTCTGTATGTTGCTTAAGGATAGCATTAATAACATCATTTTCTTGTTTTTCAGAAATGCACACAGGTTGTGGAGCAGGAATATTAAGTGAGATTCCAGTTCTCTGTAAGCATTCAGGACTAGTAACACCTAAATACTGCAAGAGCTCATCAAGAACATCTTCTTCATCTCTTATTGTATCCCAAGTTGGTACAGTTTCTCTAAATCTTTTAAACTGGAGAGAAAGTCCATCTTTTACTGTTATATCTTCTAAGCATTCATTAGATGTTGGAGGCTCTTCTGGATTCTCTTGGTGAGACAACGAAAGCATCAAAGATGTAGGTTCTGACAAGCCACTTACAGGAGGTGGGCCATACAGTATAGCAGAATCCCATGAATATTTTCCAGAGAGATCACGTACTATGATTCTGACATTTGAATTGGCTGATGCAAGGCCAGCAGATAAACCTCCTCCAGGCATATTCTCTTCTGATCTGATCTGGATACAGGACACTAAGGTGGTATTATTTAACACAAAGAACTGGATATTTGGACTCTCAAAGAGTTCAGGAGAAAGTTCAGTACTTTCACTGTAATGGTTGTCGTGATTTTCACACACCTGACTTGTTAGCATAGCAGGACCACCACTCATTGGATAATGGCCCAGGTGATTTACCAGATGTGTAATAACAGTGCGGGCTGCTATAGAGATTAATCCATGCTGCATTTGAGTTTTCACTGGAAATAAAAAATATAAATGAATGGGAATATTGCTGCTTCCTCGGGAATCATATGACAATGAAACATTAGACAACAAACAGGAATTTTATCACATTGTTAATATTTCCAATTTAGATTCCGTATCACAGCAATGATGGCAAAAAAAGGAGGAAAACCATTCTTTGATGAAGTTTTGTTTATAAGGAAGCCCTTTCTGAAATTTTTGCTAATGGGCCCATAATTTAAACCAAGGCCCTTATATATGGATCACTTTTGAAGAATCAGAAGTATTATAAACCAATCATGAAATCCCTAATGCACGTTAAAAAGCCAAAGATGGCCAGGCGTTGTAACACATGTCTGTAATCTCAGCACTTTGGGAGGCTGAGGTGGGAGGACTGCTTGAGCCTAGGAGCTTGAGACCAGCCTGGGCAACATAGGGAGATTATGTTTCTATAAATAAAAATAATAATAGTAATACTAAAATTAGCCCAGCGTGGTGGCCGCTGCACTCCAGCCCAGGTGTCAAAGCAAGACCATATCTCCAACAACAACAAAACAAAACAAAAACAAAAACAAAAACACAATGAAATCTGTTTAACTGATAAGTTTCTTATCTCCATTAATAGATTCCAGATTCAGAGACAGTTTGTAGATGCCTTAAATGTCATTTAAATCTGACTTTTACAGATAATGTAAAAATGTTTCAGAAAAGGTGACATTCCAAGTAAACTCTGGGAATCAGAATAAACTTAAACAGCAAGTCAGTATAGCCAGTACCTGTATGCACAAGAGATTTTATTTTAAAAACAAAAATATTTGCTGGACCTACTTACATTTTTCTAAGGTATTCTTCAGGGTCAATGTGGTATAGTCTAGCAGTCAGTTATATGTAAGAAATATTTTTTTTCCTCAAGTACAATAGGGAGGAAAACAGGTAAGAAGCATATTCATACAAATAACTAAAAAATCATAGGAAACAGTCGAAAGAGAAAACTCAAAGAATATTAGTAGTTTAAGAGGCTTGGAAAGGCAAGATGCCCAATGTCAGAATCTGAAGAAGGAGGAAAAGGGAGGGGAAGGGGAGAAGGAAGACAGGGAACACAGAGAGAGTAATGGGGGAAAGGAGAAAGGAGATAGACAATAATTTGCCAAAACCAACTAGTTAAAGACTGCCAATCTAAGGAGGGCTAAAGACCGTGATTCTGAGGGGTGTTGATGTGGAAGCCAGTTTGGGATTGAGTGGTGTCAGGAAATGGGGACAACTAGTTGACTGTTGCCTTAATGCGTTTCATCTAACAGGTAGGAGGAGAGTTGTCTTTGGTAAAGAAGCATTAGTCATTCATGTTAGGATGTTTAGGTAGGGGCGTGTGTGTGTGTATCTGTGTGTGTGTGTGTGTTTAAAACATTCTTGTCTCTACTTAATTTTAGACGTAATTACAGAGTGATTGTGTTTCTGTATTATTATACCACAGTAACAGAGTGATCTTGTCTGAGTATTTATATTCTCTGACAGTTAATCAGTTGGGAACACTAGGGCCTGTCAGAGCAAATAAGGATTTGTCACAATAAACACAGATTTTTAAAATTTTTTATTTTTTTATTTTTCAGATGGAGTCTCACTCTGCCTCCCAGGCTGGAGTGCAGTGGCGCGATCTTGGCTCACTACAATCTCCGCCTCCCGGGTTCAAGTGATTCTCCTGCTCAGCCTGCCGAGCAGCCTGGGACTACAGGCGCACGCTGCCACACCCAGCTAATTTTTGTATTTTTAGTAGAGGCAGGGTTTCACCATATTGGCCAGCCTGGTCTTGAACTCTTGACCTCGTGATCCCCCACCTCGGCCTCCCGAAATGCTGGGATTACAGGTGTGAGCCACCGGGCCGGGCCAGATACAGATTTAAGAATGTTCTGATTTACATACATGCCCAATTTTGTGTTTAGTTTGATGACTTTTGGTAATTGTATATAATTGTGTTACCACCAACATAATCAATATGAAAAATTCCCTCACCAAAAAAGAATTTTTATTTTATGTAAACTATACCTCAATAAAGAAAAATATTCCCTCATCAAAAAAGAATATTTTATTTTATGTAAAGTATACCTCAATAAACCTAACTCAAAAAAAAAAGGGGAGACCAGTTTGTGCATTGATGGTATAATCACTTTAAAAGAGGCAAGAGAAAAGAATAGTCTTACATTTTCAAGGCTTTAGCCTTCAAGACTCAGAACCAATACCACTGGGTATAGGCAAACCAACCAACCAGCTACTATGCCATTAATGTTAATACCATCTTCTCCAATTCCAAAAAAGAATAGTTTCCTTTGGGCTTTGGTTACTTTTAAAATGTCAGAGTATCAAAATTTTAATTTCCCATTATCAACGAAGTTATATCTACATACATGTAAATATAAACATTTCTTAGTTTATTTATTGGTTTTTGTTTGAGACAGAGTCTTGCTGTGTCACCCAGGCTGGAGTGCAGTGGCACGATCTCGGTTCACTGCAGCCTCTGTCTCCTGAGTTCAAGCAATTCTCGTGCCTCAGCTTCCCAAATAGCTGGTATTACAAGCATGTGCCACCACGCCTGGATAATTTTTGTATTACAGAAGAGGCTTCACCATGTTGGCCAGGCTGGTCTTGATCTCTTGACCCCAAGTGATCCACTAGCCAGGGCCTCCCAAAGTGCTGGGATTACAGATGTGAGCGACGCACCCGGCCAAACATTTCTTAGTTTAAAAGTTCCAATTAATGGCTGGGTATGGTGGCTCACACCTGTAATCCTACCACTTTGGGAGGCCGAGGCGGGCCAATCACCTGAGGTCAGTAGTTTTGAGACCAGCCTGGCCAACGTGGTGATACCGTGTCCCTACCAAAAAATACAAAAATTAGCTGGGTGTGGTGCTGCCCACCTGTAGTCCCCGCTACTCGGGAGGCTGAGGCAGGAGAATCACTTGAACCTGGCAGGTGGAAGTTGCAGTGAACTGAGATCACGCCATTGCACTCCAGCCTGGGTAATAGGAGTGAGGCTCTGTCTTAAAAAAATAAAAAGTAAAAAAAATAAAAGTTCCAATTATATTGAAATTTTTAAAAATTATTTTTATGATTGTTACTAATAACCAGCCATTCAACACTAGATTAATAACACTAAATGATTAACACTAATTCAATCCTTTGTTTTTAAGAATGTAAGCAAAGTAAAAAGTATTTTGAGCTATATGACAAGAAACAGCTTGAATCTAGTGTTTGCTTTCCCTTCCCTAATTGTAACCTAGAATATAAAAAAAGTTCACGCTGTAAGGGGATAATTTAGCTGGTAGTCCTCATTTTGCACATGAGGACAAATGGGTTTGCAAAGTTAAGTGATTTGCCTACCAGAGGAGATGTCTTTTGCTTCCCAGCTCAGTGTTATTTCCCTCTTTACCACAGGTCTAATTTCCATACTTTTTTCTCTTTTGTTAAACTGTCTTTTTCTTTGTGAGATATGGAAACAATGAATTCAAAATTTATTTTTCTCTGTGTATAAGAACTTCAAAAAAGTATTACTTAGCATAAATTACTAAATAAAAAGCACAGATCAATGGAAAAAAATCAAGACTAAATCGAATTTTAAATGGTAACAAAAATTAAAACTAGTCATTTTTAAATTTTTAATATAGAAAAAGATTTTTCTATTCTTCACTCTCCCTTCTGAGTGATATACTTAAATAGATGACTCATTTTAAGCATTAAGTCCTCTTTGCATAACATAGAAGTTTACATTCTGAAGAAGGGAAAGAATATAATTTAAAAGAAACAACTATAGAAAAGAGAAGAATCCCTGGCTTTGGCTTGCTCTGTGATTCATGATCACAAATACGTAAGATTCCTTAAACTCCATTTTTCTGTAAGAATTGCATACTTATTTGTAAAGATGAGTTAAAAACTCTTACATACAAAACCGGAAATAACAGAAACAATAAAAAAATCATTCAATTTAAAGAGCATTATAAGTAACATAGGTCTTATGAGTCTCTTTTTCAAACCTACTTATAAATAAACTCCCAGAATGAGCCAGGTCTTTCCCTAAAACATAAACCTCCAAGCCCAAGTACCAGTCCATCCCATATATCTTCTTCCCAAAGGTAGAGACAGTGAGTATGCAGCTTAAATGAGCTTTTTCACAAGTCTGTCATAATTACCCACATTGAAAACATGAAAAGAATAAATTTAAATCTCAGATATAGGTAAAGCATTTTCTGCCCTAAGTTGCTTCTCTAAATTCAGGATATACGTCTATATATAAAGGTATAAAAAACTCTCAAATTGTTAACTGGGCACTAAATTTATTTATACTTATTTTTGAGCTATAAACTATACAACATACATATCTCTTTTCTACTTATCTACTAAGATATAAAGAAGACATGAATTTCTCTAGTTTAGATATTTAAAATAAAATTCTAAAATAACCAGTCTTGTGAGAAAATGTAAAATGGAGATATCGATGTTTCGAAGGCTTTGTGTAAGTCTATTCAGGGTTGTCTTTTCAGATTGTCAGATTAAACAAACCCTACAGCATTTGCAGCAAACCCATAATTACAGGTTATTATGGCATACAAAAGCAGCAAGACATAAAAAGCTGCTGCAATTCACTGCACTGTAATAGAACATGCAGAGGAAGTTAATTTTGGCAAATGCTTTAAATATTAGCTTTGCATAATAAGTATAGGTGAAACTATAATTAGGACAGAATGAATCCTTTGGAGCCTCCTTTCACTCTGACCCGGCAAATGATGACTTTTTGCTAATAAGACTACTGCCATTTGACAAAAAGCCAACTTCACTACCTTGCTTTATTCTTTAGTAAATTTAATAATTACAGATACTCCTGCCAATAGTTTTCAAATCAGACTTGTTAAATCCAATACTGAGCTTATTAGCGACACTCAATGTTTAGAATTCTTTGGCCAAAAAAGTACTTGAAGATGATGAAACATGCCTTAGACAAGGGCACAATGATCACGCATTTTTGCCACATTAAAAAACACCCAGAGCATGTAGTCACTACAGACCAGAGAATTATGTGCTGTTAGCTCACAGCTGTTCCTAAAAGGTTCTGCACTTATCTGGTCCGTAAAACCTTTGAGGAAGTCCAAAGGGAACAACTTGATACATTTAGAGAAGGGCACTGCACAGAGTATCTGATATCAATATCAAGCTAATCTATTCACATATTTTCCTTTGTTTCTTTTACAGTGACTGTTTGATATTGGTATGGTAAATTTTGTACAAAATCTAAAATTAAAACTTCCTTTGACCTAAGCAAACTCTATTGCTTTGTTCAAGAAACATACTCTGCTGTCTTGAATAAAAACTGCCATTTTACACCTTAAATGTGCAGAGGTCAACTAGTATTTTCACATACCCATATTTTTAAGTAAAATAAACATGGTATCTTATTATGTCAAATCTAAAAATACAATTTTAAATTGCTTATATAAACTTTGTCTATTTTTTTTTTTTTTTGCTTTATACTGCTTGTTATATCTCTTTTACATTTGAGAAACAATTTAAATCTTAAATTCCTATTTCATAGGGTATTTATGTTCCAGACAAACTATCTGTACCTTATGGTCAAACCAGAACCCTAGCTCAACTTCCTTGGCCTCTAAGTTCATACTTTCACTTTCATTGTATGCCATCAATCCATTATCATGGACACATCTTAGATGTTTTATTCATTTGTAACTATTCTACGTTTAAAAATCAAACTTTTCCTTACTAGCCCACTCTTTGACCACAACCTCCTAGTGTAGTGACTTCTCAATTGTGTTTTGTAAAGTTCTTGGGGAAGGCCCTTAGAGATGGACAGGAAAGAAACTGGTAGTACCCCACGCCTACACTCTGCTGTGGTTCTATTTTTTAAAGTTTTCCAAACTGAGCTTCCTTATAAAATTTATTTGAAGAGGTTCTGCTACCTAAAAAAAGTTTTAAAAATAACTGTCCTAATATACCAATGATGCTCTCAGTGGTTCTCAACTGTGGCTGCATATTAGTCACATGCAGAGCTTTAAACAATCTCAGCAAATCCCAGATTAATATATCAAAATCTCTATGGATGGGACTGGAACGTCAGTATTCTAATATGCAGCCAAGGCTGACAACCACTGCTCTAACTTCTTATTACCAACCATATCTACTTTATGACTCTCTAGATCACTCTATTTTCTCCCAACTTAAAGCTAACCACTTCCTGGCAGCAGTTTGATCCTTATCAAGCCTAGGTTCCATGGCTAAGCTGTATACCAATATTCTCAAATCCACAGCTCCTCTGTATTTCTCTGCCACACCCATCTTACTAATTGTTGATAGGCGCATCCAAAACTTTGTGAGTTTTGTTTTCTCTTAGGGCCTCAGTAACTTCTGTCAATTATCTTAATTACTTAAATCTTCTTCTTCTTTCTGGTCTCAGAAGAAGGGCTAATCCTAGCACCTATACTTTCTAGCTCATCCCCTCAGGGACTTCACTCTATTAATGATACCCTTCCCACTTACTTTCTTCTCAGCTTATAAATAAGTTCAACTCTCTTCATCCCTAAAACTTTTAACCCTAAATCATCCTTTAGCTTATCAACCGTTTTATTGCATTTTTGTTTCCTTTATTTACTTATTTTTAAAGTCAAGCTTCTTTAAAGAATACTTTCCATGGATGACTCCACTGTCTTTATTTATTTATTTATTTTTTAAAGCCGGAGTTTTACTCTTGTTGCCCAGGCTGGAGTGCAATGGCGCGACCTCGGCTCACGGCAACCTCCGCCTCCCAGTTCAAGTGATTCTCCTGCCTCAGCCTCCTGAGTAGCTGGGATTACAGGCATGCGCCACCACGCCCTGCTAATTTTGTGTTTTTAGTAGAGATGGGGTTTCACCATGTTGGTCAGGTTGGTCTGGAACTCCCGAACTCGGGTGATTCACCTGCCTCAGCCTCCCAAAGTGCTGGGATTACAGGCGTGAGCCACTGCAGCCAGCCAACTCCACTGTCTTATTTCCTGCTTGCTCCTCAAACCACAGCCATCTGACTCTGCCTACTTCTCTGGTGAACTAAAGCTGATACATTTGTCATTACTTTTGTACTTGATCTATCATTTAACACTGTTGGCTAACCTTTTAAAAGCTTTCTCGGCCGGACGCGGTGGCTAATGCCTGTAATCCCAACATTTTGGGAGGCCGAGGCAGGCGAATCACGAGGTCAGGAGTTCGAGACCAGCCTGGCCAATACGGTGAAACCCGGTCTCTACTAAAAATAAAAAAAATTAGTTGGGTGCAGTGGCGCATGCCTGTAGTCCCAGCTACTCCAGAGGCTGAGGCAGGAGAATCACTTGAACTCAGGAAGCGGAAGTTGCAGGGAGATGAGATGGCGCCACTGCATTCCAGCCTGGGTGACAGAGTGAGATTCCATCTCAAAAACAAAACAAAACAAAACAAAACAAAACAAAACAAAAAACAAACAAAAAAACTTCTCTTGGTTTCTGAGAAATTACTCTCCTGATTTTCCTTCCTTTCCAATGTTTTCTTCTCAGAACCCACACATGTAAATATATATTCCTAACAAAGATCTCTCTAAGATCTAGATTTGTATATACAACTAACTGTCCATTAGATGTTTTCACATGAATATCCAGTAGGTCCCCCACACTAAACCATTTCCAACTGCCCTACTAATTTTCCCTCCCAAATCTGTACTTTCTCTAATATTCTTACTCTAGTAAGATTATTCTCGTTTGGGGAAAATCTAACCAATCTCCAAGTCAGAAACCTATTTTAGATTCCTCTTCTCTTTACAAAAGCCTTCTGACTTTACGTCCTACATACATCTCAAGTTCACCTTGTCCTTCCATTCCTACTACCATTCTTCAGTAACTCAACAAAAAATTTAGTTTAAGCCTTCAGCAACTGTTGCTTAACCTATTGCAACAGTCTCAGAATTGCTCTCTCTGCTTCTGAGTTAACGGGCCAAATTAATCTAATATACTAGGAGTCAGTAAACTTTTTCTATAAAGGGCCAGATAATAAATATTTTTGGTTTTGTGAGCCACACAATCTCTATTACTCAATACTGCTGTTGTTATACAAAAGTAGCCATAATGGCAATATGGATGTATAACAATAAAACTATAAAAACAGGTGGTAGGCCTGGGCCATAATTTACCAACTCCTATAAAATACTATGATCAAAAGTGCTCTTAATATAAATTATATCATGTATCTCCCCTTCTTAAAACCTTCAGCAATTGCTGGGTTCCTCTAGTTTACTTCTATATCTTATATATACTTCTACTGTTATACTCATAATGTTATTTGCTTCTATTATATCTTTCTCTTCTATCAGATAGAGAATGCTCTAAATGTAGAAACAACGTGGCTTAAAAATGTTACTGAGTTAACTATGTACTAAGTAAGGATTGTGCAAAGGGCTTTACATATATTATCTTACTTAGTACTTAAAAAAAACCTTAGAGGAAACTAGTGTTATCTGGGAAACTAGTGTTATCTGGGAATTTATAAATAAGAAAACAGATACTCAAATAAATTGAGAGCCAAAATTCAGGTCAGACTTGAAAGCCAAATTTCTTTATTCTATATAAATTCTATTATATACAAAAATATCAAAAAGAACTTCTGAGAATAATTTAGCCAGGTTATGTTGAGTATCCCTAATCAAAATCTGAAATCCAAAATTTGAGTGTTGACATGATGTTAAAGGAAATGCTCATTGACATTGGAGCATTACAGATTTTGGATTTTCAGATTAGGGATGCTCAACTGATAAGTATAATGCAAATATTCCAAAAGGTTAAAAAATCCCAAATCTTTAACACTTCTGGTCCCATGCATTTCAGATAAGGCATACTGAATTTGCATAAAATGAATGTCAACATATAATATTAGTAATTGTGCATGTGAAGTTATTTCTTTAATTAATAATGAACTTGTGCTATACATACATGGTTAAACAACTACAAAGTAAGACTACTCTCCTCCAACATTTCCACCCATGGCCTCAAGTTATATACCTTGAGAGAGAGAACCCAAGCAACAATATTGTCCTGAAGAGAATTCATGTTACCTTCTGTTACTGGCTGGAGTTTAGAAGATCGTTCTGAGTCAGGAGAGTGCAGAGGTTCAGGCTCTTTCAGACTTTCCAAATGCATAAAAGGATCATAATCTACAGATGCCAAATCAGAGAGGCTCATGGGAAAATACCTTGGATTGCTAAAACACTGAGCTCCATAAACACACCCATGTAAAACCTGAAAATACAGGGGAAAAGAAAACACCCAGTTTTACTTTAAAAAAAAAAAAAAGATAGATAAATAAAAGTTAAAGGAACATAAAAATCAACCGGTAACACAAGAGCTTCGCAAATATTTTAAAACATTAGGCCGGCGTGGTGGCTCATGCCTGTAATCCCAGTGCTTTGGGAGGCTGAGTCGGGTGGATCACCTGAGATCAGGAGTTCCAGACCAGCCTGGCCAACGTAGCGAAACCCTGCGTCTACTAAAAATACAAAAATTAGCCAGGTGTGGTGGTGGGTGCCTGTAATCCCAGCTACTCAGGAGACTGAGGCAAGAGAATTGCTTGAACCCAAGAGACGGAGGTTGCAGTGAGCCGAGATTGAGCCATTGCACTCCAGCCTGGGTGACAAGAGCGAAACTCTGTTTCAAAAAAAGAAAAAAAAAAAATCAACGTAAAATTCAATACCTCTTACAAAGAATGACTAAAATTTAATTATACTCATATGTAACAATGATCTAATTCCTCTCAAAATTTTGTAGTGAAACAACAGTGTCTTGTAGGAAGTACTTTTAAATTACCCTTAGGCATTGTAAGCTAAATCTGTGTCCTTAGAAATTTTCTAGCTCTAAAAGAATAAAAATGTTATACTGAGAAATGTTATTTCTCTAAGTTTTAAAAACTCTTGGTTATCAAATAAATAATAAAGCAAGGAAGTTTACCTTATAAATGCAATTGAGAACAGATTTTTCTGTTTTATCACTTTCTGCTCCCGTAGCATGAAATGGTTGGAGCAGTGTCTTTAGAGGTAAGGCCATGATCCAGTCCAGAAGGCAGAGAAGTAAAGATACTACCAACTGTAACAATAGGATAATTACAATTGCACATTCATAAAATACACGCTTCTTAAAAATTCGTTTTCTTATTCTTGAGTTTCCAAAATTTGTTTCTGGAATCATCAACCCTAAGTTCCACTATTAACATTTACCTAGATCTAACTGATTTTAAGATATTGTATATGAACATTATTGTGGGTTTCTCTTTCATATGTCAGGGCAAGCATAATGAAACAATAAGTATAATAAAAACAGAAATGTTAAAATTAATATAAAAACAGCAAGCTTAAAAGACAACACATATCAATTAACTATACTTACTTCATTGCTCAAGGAATGGAACACAAATGGAAGTCCATATATATTATAATCACTTCCACTTTCCTTTTCTAACTTAACAACATCTCACTGAATATCCTGCCAGTAAGACTACCTTAAGTACTTTTTGAAATTGTTACTCATTTTACTAAATGAATCTACTGAACATGTTTTTTTTTTGTTTTTTGTTTTTTTAAAGAGATGGAGTCTTGCTATATTGCCCAGGCTGGCCTTGAACTCTTGGGCTCAGGCAATGTTCCAGCCTCTGACTTCCAAACAGCTGGGACTACAGGTGCACACCATCATGACTGGATGGACACTTTTAAACTAATGAATGCTATAAACAGGACACTTTTTATACAAAATGAGGAATAAAATAGCAGAATTCATTGTACTAAAGCATCACAAATAGTATCATGAAACTGACAATGAAATAGCAACAAGAGACCTGCTAATCTTTAAAGACAAACTCTCCAACTCAAGTAATTCTGGTCTACATTTTCTAACATATCTTCCAAAAAATAATAATAATAAAATAAGGAACAATAAGAAGGTCCAATAAAACCTCACAAAACCAACAGCTTCCGTATTATCAGAAGACAAAGAACATCCAAACTCCAAATTATCTATTTTTTCAATTTTTATTTTTGAGACAGTATTGCTCTGTCACCGAGGCTGGAGTGCAGTGGCGTGATCTCAGCTCACCGCAACCTTCACTTTCTGGGTTCAAGTGATTCTTGTGCCTCAGCCACCTAAGTAACTGGGATTATAGGCATGTGCCACTGTGCCCGGGTAAGTTTTGTATTTTTAGGGGAGATGAGGTTTTGCCATGTTGGCCGGGCTGGTCTCAAACTCCCAGCCTAAATTGATCTGTCTGCCTTGGCCTCTCAAAGTGCTCAGATTACAGGCATGAGCCACTGCACTGAGCCTCAAATTATACGAGAAAAATATGAAGCAAATCCCAGCACCTTTCTCCTATTCTCCCATTGCAGGTTTTCATGAAAAGCAAAGGTAGTTTGGGAAAAACTGTGAAAGAGAGAAGATGGGAACTTGCTGTGAAACTAAGACTGATCTAAAAGGCTGCCAGAAAGAAAAAGTCCACCTTAAGTGTGAGAATATTTAAAAAGTTTACTGGTAGATCAGAGTAGTGAGTAAAAAGAAAGGATGCAGAAATACACACAGGAAAGGTAATGCTTAGGGGGAGAGACAAACAAATCCAGACGCGAAGACTATGATAAATACCTAACTCTTCAATGCCCACACACCGATGAACATCGACAAACATCAAGACCATCCAGGAAAACATGACCTCACCAAATGAATTAAATAAGGCACCAATGACCAATCCCAGAGACAGAGATGTGACCTTTCTGACAGAGAATTCAAAACAGCTGTTTTCAAGAAGCTCCGTGAAAGTCAAGATAACACAGAGAACAAATTCAGCATCCTATCAGATAAATTTAACAAAGAGAATGAAATAATTAAAAAGAACCAAGTAGAAATTCTGGAGCTGAAAAATGCAACTAGTATACTGAAGAATGCATCAGAGTTCTTTAATGGCAAAATGGATCATGCAGAAGAAACAATTAGTGAGGCTGAAGACAAGCTATTTGAAAATACACAGAGGAGACGAAAGAAAAAAGAAGAAAAACAGAATAAAACACACCTATAAGAACTAGAAAAAAAGCATCAAAAGGGTAAATCTAGAGTTATTGGCCTTAAAGAGGAAATAGACTGGGACATAAAGTTTGTTAAGAGGGATAAAATCATAGAACTTCCCAAACCCAGAGAAAGATATGAACACTCAAGTACGAGTAGGTTATAGAACACTAAGCAGATTTAATCCAAATATGACTACCTTAAGACATTTAATAATCAAACTCTCAAAGATCAAGGATAAAAGAAGGATTATAAAAGTAGCAAGACAAAAGAAACAAGTAACATAAAATGGAGCTCCAATACATTTGGAAGCAGACTTCTCAGTAGAAATCTTACAGGCCAGGAGAGAATGGCATGACATATTTAAAGTGCTAAAGGAAAAAAAAAAACCTTATTCTAAAATGATACATCTGGTGAAACTATTCTTTGAACATGGAGAAGAAATACAGACTTTCCCAGACAAACAAAAGCTGAGGGATTTCAAACACCAGATCTGTCCCACAAGAAATGCTAAAGGGATTTCTTCAGTCTGAAAGAAAAGAATGTTAATGAGCATTAAGAAATTATCTGAAGGTCCAAAACCCACTGGTGATAGTAAGTAAACAGAAAACCACAGAATATTATAACGCTGTAATTGTAGTGTGTAAACTACTCATATTGAAGTAGAAAGATGAAAAGATGAACCAAACAAAAATAATAACAACAACAACTTTTCAAGACATGGACAGCACAATAAGATATAAATAGAAAGAATAAAAAGTTACAAAGCAGGGGGATGAAGTTAACATGTAGAGTTGTTATTTTCTTTTTGCTTGTTTGTTTATGCAGTCAGTGTCAAGTTGTCATTAGTTTAAAATAATGGGTTATAAGATATTACTTGTAAGCCTTATGGTAACCTCCAATATAAACACATACAATGGATACACAAAAAATAAAAAGCAAGAAACAAAACCATACTACCAGAGAAAATCACTTTCACTAAAAGGAGAACAGGAAGGAAGGAAAGAAGGATGACAAGCCTGAAAAACAGCAAGAAAATAAATAACAAAGTGGGAGGAGTAAGTACCTACTTATCAATAATATCACTGAGGCTGGGCATGGTGGTTCACACCTGTAATCCCAACACTCTGGGAGGCTGAGGTAAGCAGATCACCTGAGGTCAGGAGTTTGAGACCAGCCTGGCCTGCATGGTGAAATCCTAAGACTATTAAAAAACTAAAAATTAGCCAGGTGTGGTGGTGTGTGCTTATAGTCCCAGCTAGTTGGAAGGCTGAGACAAGAGAATTGTTTGAACCCAGGATGTAGAGGCTGCAGTGAGCTGGGATTGTGCCACTGCACTCCAGCCGGAGTGACAGAGTGAGACTCCATCTCAAAAAAAAAGAAAGAAAGAAAGAAAGAAAAAAGAATAAAAAATAAAAACCACTGAATGTAAATAGACTAAACTCAATCAAAAGAGAGAGTGGCTGAACGGATTAAAAAAATAAAACCCAATGATCTGTTGCCTACAAGAAACATACTTTGCCCTGTAAAGACACACATATACTGAAAATAAAGGGATGAAGATGTTTTACGCAAATGGAAACCAAAAAAGCAGAAGTAGTTACACTTACATCAGACAAAATAGATTTCAAGACAAAAATGGTCATTATGTAATAATAAAGGGGTTAATTCACCAAGAGGATAAAACAATTATAAGTATGTATGCACTCAACACTGGAGCACCCTGATATATAAAGCAAATATTATTAGAGCTAAAGAGAGAGATATATGCCAATACAATAATAGCTGAAGACTTAAACACCCCACTTTCAGCATTGGACATTTCATCCAGACAGAAAATCAACAGAGACGTTGGACTTAATGTGTAGTATAGACCAAATGGACCTAATAGATATTTACAGAACATTTCATCCAATGGCTGTGGAATGCACATTTTTCTCCTCAACATATATAACATTCTAAAGGATAGACCACATGTTAGGCCAAAAAATAAGTCTGAATATATTTTTAAAAACTGAAATAATATTAAGTATCTTCTCTGACCCCAATGGAATAAAACTAGAAATCAAAAATAAGAGGAACTTTGGAAACTATACAAACACTTAGAAATTAAACAATATTGGCGGGGTTCGGTGGCTCACACCTGTAATCCCAGCACTTTCGGAGGCTGAGGTGGGTGGATCATGAGGTCAGGAGATTGAGACCATCCTGGCTAACACAGTGAAACCCTGTCTCTACTAAAAATACAAAAAATTAGCTGGGTGTGGTGGCAGATGCCTGTAGTCCCAGTTACTTGGGAGGCTGAGGCAGGAGAATGGTGTGAGCTTGGGAGGTGGAGCTTGCAGTGAGTCGAGATTGTGCCACTGTACTCCAGCCTGAGACTCTGTCTCAAAAGAAAAAAAAAAAAAAGGAAATTAAACAATATCTTCCTGAATGATCTGTGGGTCAATGAAGAGATTAAGAAAAAAACTGAAAAATATCTGGAAACAAATGATAATAAAAACACAACATATCAAAACCTATAGGATACAGTGAAAGCAGTACTAAGAGGGAAGTTTATAGCTATAAGCACCTACATCAAAAAAGCAGATAAACTTCAAATAAACAACCTAACAATGCATCTTAAAGAACCAGAAAAGCAAGAGCAAACCAAACCCAAAGTAAGCAGAAGAAAAATAATAAAGATCAGAGCAGAAATAAATAAAACTGAAATGGCAAAAATACAAAAGATCAATGAAATGAAAAATTGGGAAATGAAATAAAAATTGATTTTTTAAAAGGATAAACAAAATTGATAAACCTTTAGCCACTAAGAAAAAAAGAAACAAGACCAAAATAAAATCAGAAATGAAAGAGGAGACATTAAAAACTGATATAGCAGAAATCAGAAGATCAACAGACAGGCTACTATGATCAACTATATGCCAATAAACTGGAAAACCTAGAAGAAATGGATAAACTCCTAGACACATACAACCTATTAAGATTGAACCATGAAGAAATGTAAAACCTGAACAGACCAGTAACATATAACGAGATTAAAG